TATTTTACTTTGTAGCAAAGATTCTTATTAACTAACTCTAAGTTTTACCAATACACCCAGCTAGAAAAAAAAAAATTGCTTGCTGAAAACAAATCTTGGGGAGGTGTTGGTCATAATGACCAGTAGTAAAAGTCATCAGAATGAAGGACTGTACAGATATTATTATGAAAATTTTGTAATGGTCTTATTACAAGAAACAGTATCCTGGCCTGGAGGTTAATGCTCTTTTCCCAGATCTGAGAAGACTCTCAATGGCTTCTTTTTGGTGTATGCTCAAGTAGACTGCTAATAGGAGTGCAAATGGGCACAACCTTTCTCAAAAGCTATTTGCCAGTATCTATCAAGGGCCTTAAAAATGTTCATACTTTTGATCCGGTATTTCCACTTCTAAAGATATTGCTGAAGGAGATAATCTAAAATGTAAAGATTACTTGTAAATATGTTCATTCCTCTTTTTTTCAGGGCCTACTAATTGGGGACTTAAGTAAATTCTCCAGATACTGATATTATATAGCCATTTATAGTTACATTAATGAAAAAAAATAATGGCATGGGAAGTGTTTGTAATGTAACATTAGGAGAAAGCAGGATAAAAAACTCTTGCTACGCTATGATCTCAACCACAGGAAAATTCTACACACACGTGTGTGTACACACACATGTCCATATACACACATGGACACACACACACACAACACTGAAGGATATACTCCAGAATATTAAAACTGACTATCTTGGATAATCAATGAATTTATAGATGAATTCCATTTTCTTCTTTGTATTTTACTGGATCCCTCTACATTTTCTACGATGAGAAAATTACTCTCTCAGTCAGAAATAAGTTATTTAAAACAAATGTATCTTTCTAGATGAATCAGAGCCATTCATATAATATTTACATTTCTCAAGATTTTGCATTTCTTATTCTGGCATATATAGATGTGTGTGTAATTTAGATATATATGCTGAACATTATAGTATTAGTATAACTTATAATGGTATATTTTATTTTAAATATAGTTTATTTTAGCTCAATATAATTGATAATGAGAATAAGGTCCAAATTTGAGGGAAATTTGTAAACTATTTTGTGAAACGTAATTTTCTAATGAGAATCTACTCTAACATACCTGATATCTAAGACCATGATTTGATAACTCAATAACTTACAGCTTCCCATAATGATTCAGAGATTTGTTTCCAAATAGGTAGATAGAAAATAGAACCTCAGAATAACTAACAGTCTGTGCTCTGATGTGCAGGTGTTTTCTTTTACTAAAGCAGAAGTGTGTATTAGCTTTTAAGATAGGTACACACTATGTATTTTTTTCCTCCTTGGTGTGCTTTCCTCTCCTTTACTTCCTTATCTTTTCCTATAGCTTCCTTCAGGCCTTTCCTCTTTAATTGAAGTATAATTCACATACCATAAGAGTCACCATTTTAAAGCACGTTCAGTGGATTTTAGTATTTTCACAATGTTGTATAACCATCACCGCTATGTGATTCCAGAACATTTTCATCATCTCCAGAAGAAACTTTATACCCATTAGTAGTCACTCAACATTTCTCCCTTCTCTACCTCCTCGGAGCCACTGATCTGTCTCTATTAATTTGTTCAGGCCCTTTTCTTGAATTTTGATTCTTTCAGGTATTCAGGGAACACATATTTAGTCAGCCAACAAACACACCATTACTAAAATAAACTCTAAATGGATCAGATGTCTAAATCTAAAAAAATGAAACCTTTCCAGGGTAGAAAACATGTGTTAACTTCTTTGTTACCAGGATGCAGGGAAAACCTTCCTAACTACAACTCAAAACCCAAATACAATAAAAGACTGAAAATTACCAAAAAATAGAGAAAAATCTTTTGCAGGATAGAACTAACATACATAAATCAAAAGACAAATGAAAACCAGGGAGAAAAATATTTGTAACATGTATTACTGATAAATGAATAATCTCCCAAATATTTTAAGAGCTAGTGAAAATCACACACACACACATGCACAAAATTTAGAAAAATGGGTAAAGTCCTGAAAAATTGTTCACAAAGAAAGATAAACAAATGGTTCTTTAATATATGAAAAGATGCTCAAGTTCCCTTGTGATAACAGAAATGCAGATAAAAACCACACCGAGATACTGTTCTCACCCATCATATTGCAGATATTCAAAAGCTTGACCAGGGTGTGGGGAAAAGGCACTCTCATACATGCTGAGTGGAATGCAGAATTGCACAGTGCCTAAAGAGGGAAATTTGGAAAAATCTAACAAAACCAAATATTCATTTGCCCTTTGACCCAGAAATCTCACTTTTAGGAATTTACTCTGAAATACATCTGGCAATTATGAAACAACATATGCCTGAGGTTATTCAGTGCAGCATTCCTGGTAGTGGCAAAATGTTATTTACAGCCTAAATCCTCATCCGTAGGAGGCAGACCTACTAAACTAGTACATCCACACAATGCAAAACAATAAAGCTGCACAAAAATGAGATGATATCCAAGAAGCGATCTCTAGGAATGAGTTCCAGGATATATTTTTAAGTGAAAAAAAAAAATTTTTTGCAAAGAGAAACACAAGAAACATAAACTAAATCTAATGTAAATGATGACTATAGGACATGGGTGAGGATGAAGTGGAAGGAATAGGAATGAAAGTGAGGCTTTTAAAAAATATCATTTTGACTTTCAAAACATGTCAATGTTTTACATGTGAATAAAATAAAATAAAATAAAAACCCAGTAAAAAAATTTGAAAACAAACAGAATCAAATAAACCTGTTTATCAAATTAATAACATAAGCACTCAGAATAAATAATTCAGGTCACTTTTGAACAAACTACACCCCATATATGCTAAAATTGTTTCAGAAAAGTTTGTTGGGAGATAGGATATTTGCACAGTCTCAAAGTATCACTGCATAAACTGCTTGTCAGTTACAAAGGGGAGAAGATATATTTGCACTAGAATAAGCAGGCAGGCATCCTATTCATCAAGTAATCAGTTTTTTTTATTATGGGAAAATATAAATAAAATAAAATTTACCATTTTAGCCATTTTTGAGTGTTCAGTTCAGGGGCGTTAAGTACATTCACATTGCTGTTCGACCATTGCCGCCATCCATTTCCAGAACATTTTCATCTTTCTAAACTGGAACTCCGTGCCCATTGCCAGTTATCATACTTTGCATCACCCAGCAGCAGAATGACTCAACCGAGGTGGGTACTGAGGAGATGCAGTGGCAAGCACACATCAGCTCTGGGTCATTCTTGCCAAAATGCTTAGCCTGAATCTAATAATGAGGAAATCATAGACAGCTCCAGAATACAGGACTTCCTACACAACTCCTGGCTTGGCCTCCAAAAATATCAATGACATAAGAGACTTAAAAAAAATAAATAAAAGGCAGGAGAATTGTTTTACATTAATGGAAACTAAAGAGACACGACAACCAAATGCTATCAGAATCTTTGGATTCCAGATTTTTAAAAAAATGCAGCAAAAGAGCTATAAAACATATTTTGGGAATAATTGGAGAAATTGGAATAGGTACTATATATTACATAAAATTATTATATCAATGTTAAATTTCTTGGGTATGATGATGGAATTGTGGTAATGTGTGAGAATGTCTTTGTTCTTAGGAGAAACATGCTTATTTTTAAATGGTTCCTCAGATAGGGGACTGGCCCCTTAGCTCAGCTGGTTAGAGAGCAGACTTATAACACTGAGGCCGAGTGTTCATATCCCTGTACTGGCCAGCCACCAAAATAAACAGAGAAATAATAATTTCTCAAGTAAATGAATAACTAGACCGATTATATTTATGTACACACACGTGTGAAAAAGAGAGAGAAAGAAAGAAATGTAAAATAAAAAGTTAGGGAAAAAGAAGGCAAAATAAAGAAAATGAAAATACTGTAATATTAAAATAATTGTAGATGATTAATGTGATAATTTTTATAAGTATAGGCAGGCATTTTCAGTTTATAATTTATGCTTTTATCATTTTACTCATCATATTTTAAGCTGGATAATGAAACTACATATAATCTTTTCCTGAATTCACTATCCCTTTTTTTTTGGTTCTTATGCATTAGCATGAGGTTTACATAGGTCTTTAATTCAGCAGGTAAAATTAATATTAAATATGTCTTCCAAATTACATTTTGTGAAGTTTGATTATATCATTAGTTCAGAGCAAGAATCTAGTTATAAGATTTTAGATCCTCAAATAAGACAATATGGAAAGATTTTTCAAAAGTATTTCTAATAGACTTTCCTCGATGCAGATATATTATTACAATGATTTCAGATGGTGACCTGTCCCATTAAGAAACATTCTTGCGGGGCCGGCCCGGTGGCGCACTGCAACAGTGCGCCGCTTGGGAGCGTGGTGGCGCTCCCGCTGAGGGTTCGGATCCCACATACGAGGGTTCGGATCCCACATACAGAAGAGCAAGAATCTAGTTATAAGATTTTAGATCCTCAAATAAGACAATATGGAAAGATTTTTCAAAAGTATTTCTAATAGACTTTCCTCGATGCAGATATATTATTACAATGATTTCAGATGGTGACCTGTCCCATTAAGAAACATTCTTGCGGGGCCGGCCCGGTGGCGCACTGCAACAGTGCGCCGCTTGGGAGCGTGGTGGCGCTCCCGCTGAGGGTTCGGATCCCACATACAGACTGGTTCCCGCTCACTGGCTGAGCGAGGAGCAGGGGCAACACCGAGGGTTGCGATCCCATTGCTGGTCCCAGTCCGGTACGGGCGCGACACTGAGGGTTGCGATCCGTTGCCGGTCACAAAAAAAGACAAAAAGACAAAAAAAAAAGAAAGAAAGAAACATTCTTGCAATTCAGAGCAGAGATGCCCACTGGAGTAGAAAAAAATTCAACATTTTGTCAACATGCATGACTGGCATAGAATGTGGTATCTGAATCAACCCAAACCCTTGCATTATCCTGTATTAAAATATCTCTTTCAGGAGGCGAAATTGACTGTGTGGATAAAGATGGCAACACTCCTCTCCATGTGGCTGCAAGATATGGTCATGAGCTTTTGATTAACACCTTAATAACCAGCGGAGCTGACACAGCCAAGTAGGTTACTGCAAAAATATGGCACAATGATTGCCTCGTGTGGGAATGCCGCCAAAGGGATTTTGCCATGCAGTAGACAGTGCCCATTTATCCAGATTAAGGTGGATCTGTACGATGATACTAAACACAAATTAAATTTGAAATAAATTAAAGGTCTTTTAATGATAGATGCAAGGAAGAACTGGTTTTATTTTTTAGCTACTTTAGAATGAGGCCTATTCCGGTGGCTTTAATTAAGGAGACTTGAACTTTATTCCTAACTCTGCTTTCTAATATTCTGTTCTTCTCAATGCTCAATGTTAGTTAAACAGAACACATAAAGCATAAGTGGGCAAATTCAGAGTTTATTCAGACTGCTTGCTGAGTTTTGATGATATGGTTACAGGGTACAATGGAGGAAATCTGTATCAGGGAGAGGGGAATCCAACTTGCTTTTTGCACTTTGATTCAACAGAAATACATAGAGGATCTACATGGGCCTGTTGCAATGCTGGGTGCTCTGGGGATTTTTGAAGAAGTGAGGTAACTGGTTATCTTCAGGGAGCTCATAATTTTGTTGGGGGCCCAAGGCCCACTTAGGACAAAGAACAACGCAAAATAGTATATCATGAAGTTCTAACTGAAATAGGACTTAAGTGGCAAAATGTTTGGCGTAGACAATGTATGCCATAGAATGTATGGGAAGGAGAGAGCGCAAAGGCAGTGAAAGTTTTCTGGAAAGGCTTCAAGGAGAATGGGAGTAATAATAGAACCTATCTACGGATTTGTTACGAGGATGAAGTGACGTGAGTGCTAGTAAAGCTCTGTGATATACGGAAAGATCTGTATGAGTGTGAGTTGTATAAATACATGTGCTAACGTTATTACAAAGATAATACCTGTTATAGGCTCTTTGAACAGTGCCCGACTTAGTGAAGTATCAATTAATGTTAATTACTATTTTATTACTTTAATAAGATATGGTAGAATCAAATTAAAGAGGGCCTTAAATGCCTGAATAAAGAGTTTAGCCTTGATCACAGAGACTGGGTAACAATAACTGAATTTTTAGGAGAAGAACAATATGAGGGCAGTGTATATTAGGAATTCTGTTTTATTTGTCAAATGTTGTGCAACAGAATTGAAAATTTTGCCTGAGAAGGAGCCAAAATTTAAATGGTCTGAGGAAGCTGTGGTGGAATCATGTTTTAAATCAGATTCACAGTGGCCAGGTGTTCTAGGCTTGAAGTGACTAATATGGGACCCTCTGGCAGATTTGTGGTATATTATGGTTTACCTTCAGCAGTTGGACGTTACTGGGTTCCAGTGGCTTCTTGGGCTCCCAGTCTAGTGGGAAACCCTGACTCTCCGAGTCCTCAGGAAGAGGTGACAGTTCAGCAAAAGGCGGGTGGACAGAATTGTGGAGGGGAGAAAGAGAGGGGGAAGCAAGGAAGACCATTCCATGAGGAGGAAACAGCATTTGTAAAGATGCACACGTCTGCACGTGTTGGAAGCGGGTTCCTGAAGCCAAGTCATCTGATGGTGGGGAGAGTGGAAAGAAATGAGGGGAAGGCAGGAAGAGCCACATCTCAAAGACCCTGCCTGCCCTGCTAAGGAATTGGATTCCTTTCTGAGGCATTCGGAAACTGTTAAAGAATTACAAGTGGGTGTAGAGTAGGTTGTGTCCAATGATCCCATTTGTGAGTAGGAAAGATTGCTCTGATAGCCGTCCAGAAATATTGGAAGCAGTCCAGACTAGAGCACTTGGCAGTCTCTTGCAAATGTCCGGGGAAGAAAAAATGAGGTCTTGGGCTTAAGAACAGGACTGAGACTGAGGGCTGATGGAGAAGGGGAATGCTGACAGATAGTGTTAGCCATAGGGTGTCTCTTTTCAGAAGAGAAAGGAATTTGCTTCAAGCCAAAGGAACTTTTTGATTGGAAAGTTGCAAGTTAAAAGAAGCAGCTCAGTTTTGTGGAAAGAGCACTAAAGCTGGGATTCAGAAGGCTCTTATCAGGTTGGAGTTCCCATCCAGATCGTGGCTGCCCAAAGCCAGAGATCATAATTAAGCAGAAGTACGGTATCTAGGCACAAACCAACTTTACACTGTGATATGTTAATATTTTCAGTTAGGGTTAGGGTTATAGTATTTTTCTTTCAACTCTAGGTTAATTGGGGAGTTTTAGCCAAACAACCATGAATTTCTGATTTTCTTCTGGACTTGAATCAGTTTTAAGGGATAAAAATAAAGTGGGCCCAATATGTACTTAAAATTATGCCCCCCACAAAAAAAACTCCATTTACTTTGATAAGCATGAAGTTTGTTTCCTTGTAATTATTTTGCTTTCAGTTTATGCAAACACACACCTTGTGGCAAAAGTACCCTAGAAATGGCATTGGTGTTCAAGTAGCTTCTCCTTCCATTGGCTGTGCTGTGTCCTAGGGACATAGATGAGGGAAACATTGTCCCAACCTCAAAGAGCCACATCTGCTTTCTTTTGTCACCACAGTATTTGGAGATAAAACACAGCACCTCAATAACAGTGGTTCATTAAGGCAGTGATTGTGTATGTGTGTGTGTGTGTGTGTGTGTGTGTGTGTGTGTGTGTGTGTGTGTGTGTGTGTGTGTGTGTGTGTGTGTGTGTGTGTGTGTGTGTGTGTGTGTGTGTGTGTGTGTGTGTGTGTGTGTGTGTGTGTGTGTGTATGGGGGGAGGGAAACCACCTCAGGGGAAAATAGCACAGTGAAGGGGAGAGGAATTGGAGATTAAATCTAAAAGCCCCTTAGAAAATCACTGTTTTCTGGGTTCCTTGTAGATTTATGTAGGATAAACTTATTAAAGAGGGGGAAAATAATCCTTTCCTTCTATAAATTAGTAAAAAACAAATAGCATTTATGAAAATAACCCATCTTCATTCATAAACAGTATGGCTAAATGTATTTGAAAAGATTTCTATATGACAAATTTTATCATCATTACTTTCTAATAAATTTATCCGAATCTTATTATCAGCCCTTGATGAGAATGTTCTTTGTTGTTCTTTTTGCTTCTCCGAACTTTAAGTCAGAGCATGTTCTGCAACTTGCCTCAGTGCTCATGCAAATTTCTGTGGTGTCAAATCCCTTTGGTTTTTCTTACCTTTTTTAGGTTTGGGGCACTTATCTCTAGGCTTTTACTTTTGCCTTCCACCTTGTCAGTTATACTCTCAGTTCTCTTCTGCTTCAATTGCAGCAGAATTAGGGAGATTGTGATTATGCAGATAACTGGCTCTGACATTCATTCATTTATTAAATATTTGTTGAGGGCCTGTTAAGTGTCACCCACTGTGCCAAGTTATGGGGTTATAGAGTCCCCTGCCCTCAAAGAATTTATAATCCATTGGGGAAAGGGTTAAATAAGCAATTCCAATCATGCAAGCTAAGTGTGATGCCGTAGCAATTGCCAGGTGCTGGTGGGATATGGGAACACATATCTGGGATGTCGAACCCTGTCTGGCAAGGTTGGGATCAGGAGGGCTTCCAGGAAGAAGCAATGGTTAACTAAAACTGGAGAATGAGTAGTGATTAGTTAGGTCATGATGTTGAGAGTCTTTTAGATTCTCAGTATAGAATTTTTTTTATTATAACATTACTTGAGTATGTATAAACATAAGACTAGATATAAACTCCTTAGGCATTTGACACTAATATATCGATAAATTAAAGAAATTACAAAATACATGCAGCTAGAAACCAACAGTATTCAGGTTAACTGCTCAGCTTAACAATAGTAGCAAATACTCATGAGTTTCCTAAGCTAGGCACCACTCTGAGTGATTACATTTAATTGTAACAGCAACCCCATGGGGTAAGTGCTACAATTATCCCCATTTTACAGGTGAAGTAAATGAGGCACAGAGAGGTTCACTTACCTGCCTCAGGTCACAGAGCTAGTGAGGAGTGGAAATGGGACTCTGTCTTCAGCCATCTGGATCTAGATCCTTAGTTCCTGAGCACATGGCTTGCTGCCTCTCTACATATCAGATGATGTGACAGTTCACATTTTACCAAAGTTAAGTTATCATTTGCATAGGATTATGGTCCTCATGGCTAAGGTGTGGACTCTTTAGACTTCAATATACACTGTAAGAATGGAGGTTTTGCAGTGGTTTAAACCAGATGGTGGGACCATGGACTCTTCACATAGTACTGAGGTCCTTAATCAAATTCTGCCAAATCTTGTTCATACAAAAGGCTCAGTGTTCTGCATTATCACTGGCCCTCCCTAAGTTCAGACATATCATTTGATCATTTGTCCATTAAGTCCATCGTTATTCTTTCCTCATTGGTCCATGCTAATACTAGAGAAGCACCATTGTGATCCTAAATACAAACACAGACGCTGAAATTTGGCAGAGAGATGGGGTAATGAAGTGGTCATTCAGATGAGCAGAGATATGCTTTTATGCCAGTTGTTTTAGATTATCATCAAAAGGAAAAGACAATTTAAAAATTCTCAGAGAGATCTCTTGAAAGCTCAGAGGTATTTCCAGTGACCTCCGGGGATGCACTGAGAGGCAGGGGAGAAAGATTAGAGAGTTTCAGTTGGAGGGTCCAGCATGTGCAAAAGCCTGGGAGCAGGACAGAGCCTGGCCCTTGGGAGGAATGGAGAGAAATTCATTTAGCTTCTAGAAGACACATAATTTACGCAATGGCCAAATTCAGAAGCCATGTTAGTGTTTGGACTTGATCCAAAAGGAACCACTGAAAATGTCTGTAGGTTGCAAATAACAAGGATAGTCTCATGGTTGTCATTTATACCCAAAGGCCTGTAGCATAGGGGTGCATAATAAATACTTGGAATGGCATAGATAAAATTCATAATAAATTGATTTCTTGGTCATTCAGATAAGAATCAGAAAATTATCCCATTCTAAATTTAGGAAATGTTTTTGTCTCACACAGTGTGCAAAATGAAACCAATCCCATTTCCCTAGGAAAGTTGTGAGATAAGTATTGTAAAGGATTTAGAAGCGTAGAAAGATAACAGCTTGCTGATCACGATTCATTCCTGTCTTTTAAGGAATCACATAACTGATTTTAAAGAACACAACCCGATTACAGCTTCAAAACTTACAGACTGTTGATTACCAATTAAGCTAATAATAATTGCTGGAACAATAATAATACTAACACATATGGTAAAGGCTTGCCATGAGCATTACTATTACATGTACTATTTAGCACTTTGTATGCATTATTTCAATGAGTCCTTATAATTGCTCTATGATATGGACACTAATTACCTTTATTTTCCTGAAGAGGAAACCGTTATGTACTTGCTGAAGAACAAATAGATAGCAAGTGTCAAAACTAAGACTCAAACCCCAAATTTCTGACCCGCTCACCTTAATTACAGTGTTGTTCATCACACAGCCTAAAGGAGAGGCTCTAGAAAAGATTGGATGTAGGAGGGACAGCCATGTCACGTTGATGCCAAGGGGAAAGCTTAGAGGAACTGGTATTCCTTTTTTTTTTTTTTTTTTTTTTTTTTTTTTTTTTTTT